GGAGAGCAAAAGGAGCAGCAGAAGGGGATCAAGGGAGGATGTTGAGAGAGATGTGGAGAGAAAGAGGAGAAGAAGAAGAGAGGAGAAGAAGAGTCATATTGACAGGGAGAGAGAGAGGAGGAGCCGCAAGAGGAAGTCGAGCAGCAGGAGTCGGAGACGAAAGACGAAAAGCCATGCTTCTGCACGGAGCTCTGACAGCGCCTCTGACTCTTCTCTCTCATCGAGATCCGAGTGCACGTCGTCCACCAGCTCTGCTGCTGCTGCTTCCCAACCATCATCATCATCATCATCGTCAGATGATTCGTCCCCTGAAGACAAGCTTGTGGAAACTGGCACTCGGAATACCGGGGTCCCGCTCGTCCCGGGCAACTCGCGGAGGAGTCTCGATCGCGACGAGGACCCCAGAGAGGTGCTCTCGCAGGTTATCGGACGGTTCCCTCAGGCTGCGGCGGATCTCTCTGTTCTCCTTGCGAACATTCACAAAGGACAGGCGGTAGACATCTCAGCTCTGCCAGATGCTAGGCTGGGGTGTGCGTTAGAGCGGCTGTTTGTGAGCTTAGGAATGAAGAGAAAGTCGAAGTTGCCTGGGGTGTATTACCATCGGACGAGAGCTTCGATGATGGTCAGGGATGAAAAACTGTTTGAGGATTTGCGTGCGGCGTGCCGTAATGATGGATGGGCGGGGGCGAAGGAGGAAGGAGGTGGTGGTGAGAAGCACAAGGAAAATGGTAGCCGTCGCGATCGCCTATGTGCTCCGCAGGTGGGAGCAGGTCCATCCACGTCCAAGAGGAGGATGGAGGAAGCAATGAGAAGGCCAGAGGGTACAACGGATGGGTCGTCACAGGGCAGCAAGGCTGCAGGTAGTGGAAAATCCATGGTTATGAATGATGAATGCATCCATGATCATGATGACTACATCCAGTTTGCAAGGAAAAGAAGAGATGGACGAGACACCGAAAACACGGGCAATGTTCCTCAGCAGCACGTCAGAGCGTCAGTTGCTGCTGCAGCTGCGCGGTCGAGCACCCGCTGCATCGCTGCAGAAGATGCTCCAGACCTGCATGCGCACAGGTCAGACGAGGGTAAGGGAAGGGATGATGACGCGTCCGCAGTTGTTTTCCAGGGTCCCTCTCTGCCTGCTGACGTTGCTTCTGTGGATGGTCGGGATCCCGACTCTAGAGTCGATCGAACTGCAGAAGACGGCACGAAAAGAACAGCAGAAGGGGTTGTTGATGAAATTGGTCCGGCAGAGAGACCTGCTGCCCCCGACCACACAAAGAAGAGAGCAATTGGCCCTGCGATGCCTCCTGCCGCCGTTCTGGAGGCTGCAGCGCGGCTTACAGAGGCATCAGAGGCCCTCCAGGCTGAACTCGACGAGGGGCCCTTGATTGGTCCTGCTCCCCCGGCAGCTGTCAAAGAAGCTGAAAATGCAACTGAAGAGGAGCGGTTCTCCGAAGTCGTGAGGATCATGTCCTCAGAGTCGAACCAGTATGAGCTTCTGGGTGTCGCCAGCGATGCCTCGGCGACGGAGATCAAGAAGAAGTACTGGAAGCTGTCGTTGCTCATCCACCCCGACAAGTGTGCCCATCCAAAAGCTCAAGAGGCGTTTGCGCTGCTGAACAAGACACATCTGGACCTGCAGGATCCGGCCAAGCGCGCTGCGATCGACAAGAAGATAGACGAGCAGCGAAGTCGTGAGGAGTTCCAAGCAGAACTGAAGAGGCTGCGCGAAGCAGCTCAGTGGAGGAAAGTCCGAGGAGAGGCACTTCCTGGGGATGCCAGATTGCTAGGAGAAAGGTCCGGTGCTCAAGCCGGCGACGAAGCGCTCGACAGAGACAGCTGGATGACGGAGCTTCCGCCTGAGCGGTCGGCGGGTTACGTCCCGACTCAATCCACTTTTTTCAGTAAGAAGGGGAAGAGGGAGAGGGGCGACACCTCAGCCTGGACGGACACTCCCGCGCAACGGATGGAGAAAGCGAAACAGATGTACCTGGAGGCGTATCAGCAAGCATCGATAGATGCGCCTGCCGACTTCGCTCCGAGGGAAACTGCGGAAACGGAAAAGACAGCACAACTGGTTGACGAATTCAATTCACGGAACAGGAGTAAGACGCTCGTGGATAAGCACCAGGATGAGATGAAGGCAAAGAAGAAGAAGAAGGGGAAGAAGGAGAGGAATAGCGCGGAGGTGGTCGATGAGGAGTGGGTAGGGAACCACCCCTGGAAGCCTTGGGACCGAGAGAAGGATCTAGTCATTGGACCAAAGGCGATATCTTGGGACAAAAACAAGCAGGCAGCCTCCCTCGCTGCTCGGTTTGGCTCTGACGATCAAGGGCAGAGACATTTTCTGTAGTGGTGGCTGTAGCCTGTCGGTCGCGGTTATGCATACCATGATGCAATGCGATTACAGGGAGAATGCTTGCTGAGGATGGAATTCGCTTTTTTTTTTCTTTTTTTTTTTTCCCTTTTGAAAAGGATGGAGTTCGGCGTCAGTGTTCTTTTTTTTGGGACGTAAACATGTGTCTGTCTTTCACTTTTTTTCTTGTCCTGCTCTTGTCGCTGGTCTTGTTCTTCATGCCAGCTTTCTTTGGCTTGATGACCAACCGCCCCACAAGGAAACTCCGAATACTTGCAACTGAGCATCGCGCAGACATACCAGCGCCACCAGCATTGCAGGGGGTGTGTGTTTAAAAAAAAAAAAAAAAAGAGCATCGCGCAGACAGACTTTGGGTGCCAGGATGCACAGTCAAAAGGGATGCACAGTCAAAAGGGATGCGAAGGCAAAAGGGATGCACAGTCAGAAGGGATGCGAAGGCAAAAAGGGATGCACAGTCAAAAGGGATACGAACTATTACGAAGGCAAAAAGGAACATAACCCAGGTCGTAAGCTGAGGTCATAAAGCAAAATCGCTTAGTAGGGAAAGTAGTTGATCGAGCAATAACAATTACGATCGAATGGAACAGATCGGAAAAGAGAAAGCGCACCAGTTACAGTGAGTGAAGCATCAATTCAAGGCAATTGAATTCTATCTGTCTTTTACTCAAAAAAAAAAA